TAAAACTCCTTATCAGCCTAAAACTCAGAACTACGGAAGACCATTAGGGTCAATCAAATGAAAAAAAATTAAAATTCTGATTATTTTGTAATTACAAGGTAGCCATTTTATATAACTATCTTTTAATTACAAGATAATTACAAGCCCATTAGGGTCAATCACATGAAAAAAAAAAGTGTTCTAACTAGTTTATTTCAAGGTCGCCCTACGCTGATTTATCGGATAGCTAGGCCAACGAAGTACTCTTTTTTATGTTACGGGATGGGTACATCCAGGTCATGCTCCCATTAATATCGTTCGTTATTCCATGTCCTAATTAAATGAAATGAAATGAAATGGGGTTTAACGTCCTACTGTTCTGCTCCTATACTGGGCTAATGAAGACGGGCATACGCCATACAGTGTGCTATGAGGGAAATTTTGCCCTTATATTGAATTCCAACTGCCAGGGGGTCTTTTACGTGCATTCCAATATATACAGGGGACCTCGGTTTTTCGTCCCATCCGAACGACTAGACAGCTGTCCTTGTCAGGCCCTCCTTCCTGCATCACTGACAAGGGGGAACCACGCCGGAAAATCTGGATGAACTTTCTCCGCTAATGCAGGGATCGAACACCCGACCTTCAGGCTAGCGAGCCAGCGTCTTACCCACTTAGCCACGTGATCCCCATGTCCTCATTAAAAACTATTCATTAAGTTCATATTCTCATTAACTTCATAGTCCTTAAAGCCACGGAAATTTTCAGAAAATTTGGTTAATCCAAGACTGAATAGACACAAATTGATTATTAAAGAAATCAAAATCAAGATCGCAACGATAGATAATTTACAGGCTTGGGTTCTATCGAATTAAATAGAGGCGCATGAAAGAGGTTGAACGAAACGTAAAGATGGCAACGGCTTGTTTAAAAGGGATATAGACGAAAAGGCGCTAATCCAAAACGACCAAAACTTATATAACTGTGTAAAGTTGACACGAACGAAAACAAAACGGCCAAAATTGTGATAAAAATTTACCTAAATTTACGTCAGTGGGTTCTTATTAAAGGGTGTATTGGATCTATTTTTTGGAACCTTGAAATATACAAAAATAGTTCTAAAACACATATTAATGTAATATGATTGTATTTAAAGTGATTTATATTAAATTTTTGAAAAAAAAAAAAAAAAAAATATTGAAATTTCTAGTAAATTATGTTCGGTGAACGACGACAGTCGTTTATGCCTGCTTATACATTCTACACGTTTTTTAAATTATTATTTTGTCGTTTGTGAATCAGCCTTTACTAATTACTTCCACATTGTGTTGTAGGATATGTTTTTATTTGTTCATTACAAAATGGCACCCGAAACCATAGGATACACTACTCCTGTACTGATTATAAAATGTTATTTGTGTCTTAAATATTGAATATTAGTTTCATTGCAAGTTAACAACATCAATATTGATTGAAACTGATCAATATTGAATTCTTATTCGCGTTTTTAATTTCGAATATTATAGAAAATATTGAGTTAGAAACTTTGCTCCGTTAAAGATACCCCATGCAAGATATAAATCTGCCTATCACAGGTCTTTCTTTAGGCCTTAAATGTTCTATAAACTATTAATTAGCCAATTATTAACATGACAAGACAATAATCAACTCCGATTATTAACGTCAAAATTGTTTTCCTTGGTATTTACGTCATTAACACCAAAAAACGACCGTCAACTATCGCAAAAGAAAGAATTCCAAGAAAAATGTTAAATATTTTGGGCTACAATATCGATAAACACCTCCTGTTTAGAATTTATCGGACTGTTATTGTCTAATGATTTAAGCGGTATCAAATGGACAATAACAAACAGACCGATAAATTCAAAACAGTCGGCGTTTATCTCCTAATTGGCAGCGATAGCCTTCCATAATTTATGGGAGCATGACATAAATGTTCCGATTCTGTAAAATAAAAAAAAGTACGGCGTTGGCCTAGCTATTAGATAAATCAGTGTATGGCGACCTTAACCTACGTTACTCATGGGCGTCTCCCTTATCTTGTAATAACGATAGGACTACCCTTCCATAATTTATGGGAGCATGACATAAATGTGCCAATTTTGTAAAATAAAATAAAGTACGGCGTTGGCCTAGCTATTAGATAAATCAGTGTAAGGCGACCTTAACCTATCTTCTCCCTTATCTTGTAATAACGAGATAGCTATCTTGTAATTACAGGATAGGTTATCTTGTAATTATAAAGTGGAAGCGAACGTTAAGACCGACATCAAGCCAAATGACGCACACTGAACCTAGACAAACCGGGAAATAGGTAAAATAAATTGATCACCCACTTTAGTAAGCCGTGTCGATAAAATAAATCCAGAACTTCGATGAAGAGGTGTGAGTTAGCTCTGGCAGTTCTCACTATAATAGTTAAAAACTAGATACTGTACTCGATTATCCATATCTGTATTAAATCATGAATGGAAGTCGAACAGCAAATCGAAAGCTAATCCATTAAAAATCACATGCTAGCGATGACATCGAGGGTTGATTATGATCTGGATAAGTTAATGTCTAATAATTTAGATAATATTTCAGGCTTAAAGAAAGACCTGCAATAGACAGATTTAGCTCTTGCATAATGTATGTTTAAGTGAGACCAATTGTTTAATTAAAAAGTCATATTATTATATTTTCTAACCAAAAATCTAATTATTATTACGCAACATTTTTGACTCTATAAAACAGACTTTGTTAAATGATTGTTCTAATATTGCTTTGCAGGTATTGTCAGGTTTCACTGGATGTTGGTATAAGAGGGTTTACATATGCAGATCAAATAAATTGTGTTCCCATAGATTGGATCGTTTCTTAACGGGGTTCCATAGGCCAGTTCTAAGATTAGAAATATCCTAATATTGTTATCCTGGTAGGGAGCCACGGTGGCTAAGTGGCTAAGACGCTGGTTCGATAGCCTGGAGGTCGGGTGTTCGATCCCTGCATTGGGATTTTCGAACGTGGTTTCCCCATGCTGCAGGGCGGAGGGCCTGACAAGGACAGGTGTCTAGTCGTTCGGATGGCACGAAAAAACGAGGTCCCGTGTATACATTGGCATGCTCATAAAACATCCCTTGGCAGCTGGAATTCGATATAAGAGTAGGCCATAGTGTCGCTTCCCGGGCAAAATTTCCCTCATAGCACTCTGTATGGCGCATGCCCGTCTTCATTAGCCCAGTCGAAGCAGAACAGTAGGACGTTAAACCCTATTTCATTTCATTTCGTTTAACGAGGTGACCTGATAAACGCGACTATCTTCATTTAAAGAAAGGTTCCCAGAAAAGTATTTATCGGGTGGTTATTTCCAATAAAAGTGTGGCAATTTTGGTATATATGGAAAGTAGAAATATCCAATCTTACTAGAAAAATACTGGATTCCCTGAAAAACACTCATGGAGCGCATACAGGACGAAAATGTAAGGGTTTCCCTAATCGACAGCCCGACGATTAGGAGTGTCTGCACGCGTGACGTAAAAGGTTGCACGCGGAATTTGAGCGCTTGATGCACTCGGCAAACCTCAGCAGATACTAGTACCCTACATCTAGCCTCGGCTGTATGACGGTAAGTGATATGTACCTTAATTGGGGTTCATTAAAAAAGTGACTTAGGTCGTTCTTCCCCGGGGCTCTTCACGTGTTATAAACATTTGCGTTTTCTGTGTGAAGTAGCGCTTTTTTTTACAGCGACCTGATAAAGAAAACTCAAAACATAGCGTTGCCAAGCAAGCAAAATAGATCCACAAACAGCTTTTTAAAGATTTCAAGTTTTTAATTTCATGGACTACAGGTGGTCGAGTTTGTATTTCGATAGGATTCGTGATTATAATTAGACACTAACGTCTGTTTACAGGGTTTCGGTGACCGGGGCAATAAAACCACATACAATGTCGATAATCGGTACAGAATTATTCTTCCTTATCACTACCCAAACAATCGTAACGAATGTGGGAGGTCGCTAAAGCTTTACTAAGGATTTAATGTGAACAAATGGAAAAGGGGGCCGATATTTCCAAAATTTAATCCCTCTGGGCCCATGTTTCACATTTATACCACCTTTCATTTGTTAAACTGAACTAAGTTTTGAAATGAGCAACTTCAAATTTTGGTTTAAAGATAAACTTCTACGGGTGAAATCAGTAATATACTGTACGCAAAAACCGTTCACATAACTTATTACTCTTATCGTATTGACTACTGATTGATTCATAGATAACATGCCTACAGTAGCAATCGATCATCGCATTACACATTATCACGGTATAATATTCTGCTTCCCTGATTTATGGTACTTATAATACCCAATACCTTTAATGTAATTAAACATAGACATTTTAGATACCACAGTGACAACATGGCATCACTATTAATATTACATATTGGGTCCATTGAATTGAAGCCGAGACAAAAATGAATACTAGTATTAATTCTGTATTTTCATAAACTTTCAGAGTCTTATGTAATTAAATTAAGTTCACACTTTCGTATATTTTCCATTTTTGAGTTGTTTAATACACTATTACACAACAATAGAATAAGCTTTAACAATATCTTCAATTGACCTGAACTCTCATCTAGCCTATCAATAGTCACTTTGGCATGGGCAAAAGTTATTTTTAAACCAATCACATTGGCTAAAATAAGACAATAAAACATCATGGAATTGTCATTGATAAAGAAATAGATATTAACCGAAATAAAATTAATATCACATTTAATGTGATGGCGCGGTGTTGAAATATAAATTCAATATGTTATTGTTTATAATCTTTTTTCCTGTCAAAAAGTATATCTGTGCAATTCGACAAAAATGCCACCTTGAAGAAGCAAACTTTGAGAGAAATTCTATTTTATTGGTAATATTGGCCAACCTTCTATATTTTATCCACCGAATCCGTGCCTCAGACTTAAATAGTATGCAGGATCAATTTTATAAGTTGAATGATAATTAGGCTTTCTCGTGTTATTATTGACCAACAGTGTTAAACCACATATATAGACAACTACATAAGATCTGCAGCTATCTAGGAAATGACGTCTTCCTCATAATTTCCGTTACATGACCCCCCGCTATACATATCAGAGAGAATATTCTTTGTCTTGTTCTCTTTATAGCCGATATGAGTTAATAACTAGATGTGACGTTTAAGAGATTATTTACTTAAAACGACATTGGAAAGGAACATTGTTACAAGGGTAAAAACATTATATATTTAATTACGGAAATCGGGGCATTTTCTTTGATTATAATCGCAGACGAGGCGCTGTTAAAGCACGCAATGGAGTCTAATTCAAGAGTTGGTTTGTATCTTTAGACTAGATTCTGGGGATTGCGTGTTTAACGGTTTAATATTTACCAAAGATTGTCGCCAAGCCACCATGTCTTATTTCGTGCCCGCCACTTCATCCTTCCACCCTAGCTTCATTAACTTCGTTTTCTTTCATAGGTTATCATTTATGGTGTTCAATCTCTTCCTCGTGTAATATAACGGAGTTTTTTTTGTTCTAATCTTCTGTGTTTGGAGGTATGGGTTTTTTTGGGTTTTTTTTTTTTTTTTTTTGGTTTACATTAAATCTATAGTATGTCGTGATTGCTGTTTTTGTAAATAATGACGATGACTTTTATTCGTTTTTTAACTTTCTAGCTTTTAATCACTTTTAAGTATTCTGCAAAAGCAAAAATCCAACAACTCAAGCAAATGTGTTACTGCAACATACAATGAAACAATGACTAATAAGTCGTGTTTGGCTTCTTTAAACATACTTTATGCAAGAGCTAAAATCTGCCTATTGCATGTCTTTCATTAGGCCTGAAATGTTATCTAAATTATTAATTAGACATTAATTAACTTATCCAGACCATAACAACTCTCGGTGGCATCGCTAGCCTGCGATGCTTATTGGATTACGTTCCGATTTGCTGTTCGACTTCCATTCATAATTAAATATAAAAAAAACGGATAATCGAGACTATGTTTTTTTATCCTGCCGACTTTAGTAATGATGATCGAGGCTAGCCCTAATATTGAATCGCTAAAATCTCGGTTCATAGTGGATCAATTTGACTGAAATTTTCAGCAAATTGCCTTTACATTATCTAGTTTTTAACTATTATAGTGAGAATTGTCAGCTCTTTAACTAATCTTCCCATAATGTATCTAAAATGACTTGACACGAAAATAATTAAATGAGTCATTCATATTTGTAATTCATTTTATATAAATCACTAATGGTCACAGGTTGTCAAGGTTATGCTATATTACTGGTACGTTTAGTAGGTCTTTACGACTGGCAATCGAACTATCCATTTAATAGTACCAATAGGATTACCGATGAAAGTATACATAAAGAGGCTTACTATGATTGGCAATATGTCCACATGTGAATGACTTTGAGTGGAGATTCTATGTTGTTAATATCGACAATCAATAAACTAAAGCCAGAAAGCCAGAAAAAGAAATGACGGTGGTAATACTACAGTATGTAAATTTAATAATTTTCTTAAATTCAGAAAGCGAAGAAGATGGCCATATTCAACATAACGCGGATATAGACCGGCCAACCACAAGAGAAACTGCTATATGGGGTATCAAATCTGGTGTTTTAGATACGGTAAGTACACAAATATTTGGACAGACCGAGGTATTGTCAAATGTAGATTACTCTAACGATCTTTTTGTGAATTTACCAAAATCTACACTCGCCCCTCTTCAGCGAGTGCAAAAGCTTGCGGCCAAAATGATTCTTGGACAATCCAAATTCTCCAGTTCATATGACGCCCTAAAACATCTCCATTTTCTTCCAATATATTATGTCCGTGAATAACGCTCCAAATTACCTTTGTGATCTTTTAACATACAACCCGAATCGACATTCCACACGATCATCGACCGCCTAGGATTTGCATGTTCCAGAAACAAAATTTAAATCTTTTGCTGACAGATCCTTCAGTGTAGCGGAACCAAAACTATGGAATAAACTACCGCGAAATCCGAAAGCGTGTCATTCTTTGGAAAGTTTTAAGAAGACTTTAAAAACGTATCTATTCCAAAGAACATTCTGCAAATAACAACTTGTATTATGTGTTAAAACCGAGGTCCCGTGTATACATTGGAATGCTCGTAAAAGATCCCTTGGCAGTTGGAATTCGATATAAGAGTAGGCGATAGTGCCGCTGCCCGGGCAAAATTTCCCTCATAGCACACTGTATGGCGTATGCCCGTCTTCATTAGCCCAGTATAGGAGCAGAACAGTAGGACGTTAAACCCCATTTCATTTCATTTCATTTTTATTTAATTTCATTTATGTACACTGTTAAAAATGGGTGTAATTAAAAACTATAATCAGTGTTAATTAAGTGTAAACTTTACACCACAGCTAGCGTTTTTAAAATGTAGTACCTTTTCAAGGGTCACCAACTAAAAGAGCTACACCTAACAAGTGTAACCGATATTCATGACTACTGAATAGGTGTAATTGTGGTGTGTTTTGGATAAGCTACACCACTATCGGTGTTATACTGCATTTACACCAAAAGGGGTAACTATTATTGGGGAATAAATCCTAGAGCAATGTTAATTTTACAGCGTTTATTGGGTTGTAAAAGTGTAATCGTACGCTAAAGGGTGTTTGGGTTGAGCTACACCTCTACAAGCGTTTTATTGCATTATTAGGGAAACATAATAAGGTGTCAATATTTACACCGTATCTTGCGTTACAAAAGTATTTATGTACTCGGGGAATCACGTGGCTAAGTGGGTAAGACGCTAGCTCGCTAGCCTGGAGGTCGGGTGTTCGATCCCTGCATTGGCCGAGAAAGTTCATCCAGATTTTCCGGCGTGGTTCTCCCTTGTCAGTGATGCAGGACGGAGGGGCTGACAAGGAAAGCTGTCTAGTCGTTCGGATGGGACGAAAAACCGAGGTCCCGTGTACACATTGGCGTGCACGTAAAAGACCCCTTGGCAGTTGGAATTCGGTATAAGAGTAGGCCGTAGTGCCGCTGTCCGGGCAAAATTTCCCTCATAGCACACTGTATGGCGTATGCCCGTATGACGTACATGTATGCCCGTCTTCATTAGCCCAGGTTAGGAGCAGAACAGTAGGACGTTAAACTCCATTTCATTTCATTTTTATTTATGTACTGCAATTTGAGTGGGTTTTTTTAATTGTTTTGTATAATATGGCGTTAATGTCATTAGTAACGCAAGTATAACTTATTTTAGAGTGTTTATTCATTGTAAATCGATACAGATCGTCTAATTTTACAGTTTCGGACCTGCTAAATTATGTGCTCGATTCGCCGATTACGTCGTGTTCATTATATTATCACTTTATGTTTTTTTATGAAGTAGTTGTGACCATATTTTACAGTGTAGACATGGCGGACATTGACGACCGAAAGAAAAGTTGACGTCAGCATTATGCCATTAATCAGATTATGTTACTTATTATTGAGAACTTTGACAGACAACAAAAGTAAAAAATGACATATTGAATTCACCGTTATCTCCAACTTAAGAGTTGACAGAAAATTGGTCTGGGGAAATAGATTATAGACTAGAATGCAAATGTTTCTCGTTTTAATCTATGCCGTGGTTTCGTTACTAGCAGAAAGCTGTTGTAGGAGTGTAAAGTATAAATTGATTTGTATCCACTAACATCGAGGCCAAGAAATTATTTAACCTATAACATTTGGTTTTATATTCTGAAATAACTATCCAATTGCTGTTAAATTTAAACAACGAATAGGCAAGGGTATTTTGCATTACTGTTATATAAAATATCCAAATCTTGCAAAACAAGCCAACAGTGAGGCTGATGTCCCCCGCCGAAATAGGAAAATAATTAGAGGACACATATAAATTTATCACAAATTATCTTTTACAAAGTATTGAACAATCAAACAGTATATCTTTACTTATAGTCTAACAATCAAAGTAGGAGAGTTATTGTTTTCCAAAGTCTCGACCAATCAAATTGCGTATCGCTCTGCTTACCCTGAGCAGAAAATGCTCATTATCAAACTTAGTCAAGGTATTACTGTAATGAAACTATACACCAAGTTTCATCAATCTCACTTAATTAGAACTAAAGTTATCGTGTCCCAAAGCATCAACCAATCAAATTGCTTATCTCTGCTTACCCTAAGCGGAAAATGCTCATCTTCGAACTCCATCAAGGCATTGACCTAATCAACACATACACCAAGTTTGAACATTCTAGCTCAATTAGGAAGAGAGTTATCGTGCCCCAAAGTATCAACCAATCAAATTGCTTATCTCTGCTTACCCTAAGCGGAAAATGCTCATCTTCGAACTCCATCAAGGCATTGACCTAATAAACACATACACCAAGTTTGAACATTCTAGCTCAATTAAAAGTTATCGTGTCCCAAAGCATCAACCAATCAAATTGCTTATCTCTGCTTACCCTAAGCGGAAAATGCTCATCTTCGAACTCCATCAAGGCATTGACCTAATCAACACATACACCAAGTTTGAACATTCTAGCCCAATTAGGAAGAGAGTTATCGTGTCCCAAAGCATCAACCAATCAAATTGCTTATCTCTGCTTACCCTAAGCGGAAAATGCTCATCTTCGAACTCCATCAAGGCATTGACCTAATAAACACATACACCAAGTTTGAACATTCTAGCTCAATTAGGAAGAGAGTTATTGTGTCCCAAAAAGTGTGACGGACAGACAGACAGACAGACAGACGGACGAACCCATTTTAATAGTCCCCTGCTTTCTTCGAAAGGCGGGGGACAATAACATTTAGCAGTAATTAAAACACAGCAATAAACAACAATTTTTATTAAAACTAAAAGCAAAGCAGGAAGTTGTCAGGCCGCACTCACTTGTGTTATAGACAGGTGTATCCGAGCATAAAGCGATTGCTCGTCATGAAGCTCGACTCCAACTCCACTTGACAGTTCATATTTCTTTGAAAACGTATCACAAAGCTTCATATAGCTTGGAACTAGAACAAAAGATACTAACAACCAGTTAACCAGTTTTATATTAAGAGATATATATCTGGAATTTCTCCTTTAAGATACCAAATAATTTCATCTAGTGAAAATATACCGGCCATGCCTCACTTAAGCCAGGCGCAGACGGGAAACTTTTTCGAGCAACTTTCAGGCAACAGTGAAATCGCTGGTCGTTGAAAGAAAAAATCGCTCGTCTGCGCCAATGGGCAACAATAGTTGCCTGCTGTTGCTCCGAGTTGCTTCTCGTTGCCAAATATCAAACATGTTTGATATTCGACAACAGAAAATCGCTCGTCGCCGAGAAATTGTTCATCTGTTGCTTCAAAATTGCTCGTCTGCGGCGGTAGGCGACAACAGGCAACAAGCAACTGGTTAACTGTCCAATCAGCAAGCGCTCTACTGTCATGTGATACTTCAAGATGGAACAGCTAACAACATTAACATGGTCCGTGGAGATGGAAGACATGTTGGTGGAAATGTGGGCTGAGCGGCCAGTATTGTATGATGTAATTGCTTTTGTTGTTGTATGTACGGCGCCATTTTGAATAATCACGTGATATCGGCATTCCGGATACATCCGGGGAAAAATTGCTTCTCGTTGACAGTCAGCGCACACGGGAGACCTCGAGTTGCCAATTGCTCGGAGTTGCCAGTAGTTGCCTATTGCAGCAACAAGCGACGAAAAGTTGACCGTCTGCGCCAAGCTTTAGACAAGAACATTTAATCTGACTATAATCATGCCGTGTTATATTTTATGGAGGCTGATTATTTCTTGCTATTGTAATTGCTTTGTGTAGTTATTTGCTGACAATGTGAATAATCTATAAATCAATACGAAATTCGAGCAATTAAAATATTTGATTTTTGGTGTGATATTAGTTCTCAGATTATTACCAGCCTTTAGTTCCCACTATTAATGATCATATTAAATTAGCGCACCTGCTCTATAATGACGTAGGATTGTCGTCTGTTTATTTACGTGCTCAGCATATCAATATCCTTCATAAAGTACAAGGGAAATATCCATTAGTCATCAAAACCCCCATTCTCTCCGAGACATGACAAATAGGAATTTAGTAGGCTATAGAATATATTAGCAGCGTACTATTGGAACCTATTTAAAACTATATCTTTATTTGATATCGTATTTATTGTACAGTAAAACCCATAGGCGTACGGGGTAATTTTTGACTGGGGGGGGGGGGGCGGTGGTGGTTGGTGCCCAAAAATGTAGTTAGGTTCTTAGTATGTTACATAATAATAATAAATTCGCTGTTAAATTGGACACATCCAAGAACACAATATCTTTTTTTTATACAACTTTTACAAAATACAATTGTGTACCCAAATTTTCCCAGCATTTGGTACCCAAAACGCCCCCCCCCCCCCAGCTCGTACGCCTATGGTAAAACCTAATCTCTGTTATCCAGAAGTATGTTGCAATAGCCCTTTCAACGATTATTGGCAAACTGATCAGCAGTAAATATTTGCTTGGCCGCTACTATCACATCGGGTCGTGTTAATTAGCTCTCAATATTAACTTTTTTTCTATTGCAATTAGATTTAAAACAATTTTTTAAATTATTAAGAAAAAAATAAAGGTGTTGGAAGTATAATATCTGGTTAAAAAATAATTCCTATTTAGTGTAAATGGGTACATAAAATGGTACGCGAAGGCGTAAAATGAGTAAAAGGCAACCAATTCTGTGACGTCACAATGTAGACTTATTCCGCACGTGAACATACAGGTCAGTCATATTGTACAGAATTACCGCTGTGAAACAGATTGGGATATTGGGTTTGGGAACATTGACTTTGAGTCGTCAGTTGACCAACACTACTATACCGAGAATATAAGGAGTACCGATATTGATTAGTAATTAAAAAATACGTAATAGAAGAATCAAAATATTTTCCCCGTAGTTATATTTTATAATCCAGCAGAATGATCAATCCCGTGACATTGTTTTGTCTCCCCCTGTACTTTTGTATTAATATTGTGATTAATCCGTTTTTGGCCATTGATTTTCACTCAAGCAATTCTGATTAATTGGTTTTACGATTTTGAGATTTAAAAGCGCGGTAACGACCAGTAGAACATTGTTATTTCCTCGCTTTGTCTGTAAAAATATTTAGTTCTCACATACGAACTAATGCAAGTATGTGTGCACGATCCCGTGTTGTCATTTGTGTGGTGCTGTGTGTTTTAAGGTTTCCAATGAAATGGTCGGTTCTTAAATAGAAATTTCCGTTTGGTTTAAACTAAGATGATCTGGAAACCAAGAGGAAAGAGCTAACCGGCTTTTTGATAGAAACAAACCCAATGCCACACCATATGAATAAAATGAATACCTCTCAACTCCAAGATAACGAATACCGCCACTGCCATCACCATTGAATTTGCATACTATCCATCGCGAGATTTATTCGAATAATGATATTCAATATAAATCATGTAAACTGTAAATAATATTTGTGTATTTTTACCGTAAATTGACTGGCAGAAAGTTGCCAGTAAATTGACTGTATTTTAACACTGACTTGCAGATTTACACCTACATGTAGATTTACAAACGGCATGTAAACTTACAGTGAGTGTAATTTAACTTCGGTGTAAATTTTCATTGTTGTGAGGTAAATTTACATTCACTCTAAATTTACACCGTGGATGTAAATTTACTTCAGTTATCTTGCACTCACTTAAGAGGTTGTTTGATTGTGATCGAAGGGTCCTGCAAAGTTTATTGGTGTTGAGAAGGTCTCTAAGGTATTGGGGTGAAGAATCGCCATTTAGAGCAGAATACGTAATAGACAGTATTTTAAAATTAATACGTTGACGGACTGGAAGCCATTGGAGATCTTTGAGAATTGCTGTCATATGTTTGTTTGGTTTCGTCTTGGTTATGATCCGGGCTACTTTATTTTGAAGTTTCTGAAGTAGTTTGATTTTATTTTTAGGTAGATTGTACAAAAGTGAATTACAGTAGTTGAGTCTTGATGTAACCATAGTGTTTACTAGCATTTTAGTCGTGTCACTATCAATGAAAGATCTAATTTTTCCAATATTATAAATCTGAAAATTAATACTTTTACACATGGCCGAAATTTGTCCAGATGAGAGTCAAAATAAACACCAAGATTTTTTTTACAGAATCTGTTGGTGTAATAGAGGTATTGCCAATTCGATAGTTTTCTGTTATAGATTTTAGTAGTTGCTGCCTGCTGCCGACTTTCATTATTTCTGTTTTGTCATCGTTGAGTTTTAATAAATTTGAGTCCATCCATTTACGAATATCTGATAAACAGGCCCCAAGTTTGCATATCTCAGATGGTTCAGAAGAAGGCTCAAAAGCTATATAAATTTGAGTGTCGTCGGCGTACAGATAATAGTTATGACCGTGTTTACGAATGACATTTCCTAAAGATGTTGTCTATGTGGTAAATAATAAAGGACCGAGAACGGAACCCTGTGGCACGCCATACTTTTAAACCGTTGATTTGGATGTGGAACCTTTGATAACAACTGTCTGTGTACGGTTTTCAAGGTATGACCGGAACCATGTAATGGCTAGTCTACTAACACCAAAGTTGTTCAGCAATCTTTTAAAAAGAATTTGGTGGTCTATCGTGTCAAACGCAGCGCTTAGATCAAGCAGGACTAGCATTGGTGTTTGTTTCTTACCCATTTCGTTTAGTAAGTCATTTTGAACACGTAATAAGGCGGTTTCAGTGCTGTGTTGTTTTCTATATGCAGATTGGAATACTTCGTTGAGGTTATCATTATGCAAATGTCTTTTAAATTCGGATGCAACAGCTATCTCAATAGTTAGAAATCGGTCTGTAATTCTTTAGTAATTCTTTATCAAGGTCGGACTTTTTTAGTAGCGGAAACACTAACGCCTCTTCCAGAACCTCCGGCATACAACCAGAAGCCAGAGAGGAATTTACAATATCTGTGGCAGCTGGGACCATCACGTCAAGACACTGTTTTAGTAGCCAAGTGGGAATGGGATCTAGAGAACACGATGCTGATGACGATGCTTTGATGATCTTATTTATATCCAGATTAGATACGGATCTAAATGTTGAGAGTTTCACGCCAGAGTAAGTATTTTTATCCTTAGAGTCAGCGAGTGGAATTGTTCCAAGACCTGATCGTATAGTATCAACTTTTGGTTGTGAACAAATTAACAAAATCATTTGCCAAAACTCCAGAGTCCCGATTTACTTGGCGACGTTTTGCATTTCTTATTGTAGTGTTAGTCTCATTTTTACATTTTATATATACTCTTCCAAAAATAGGGGATATTCAGAAACAATACAAAACTGCAGAAATGCACTGCTGTTTTTATTAGAGATAACCAGTGTATATTAGTAACAGGCCAATTGCCTACATATGAACATAAACAGTTCATATGGGCGGCTTATCTGACGGCCCCATTTCACTCGCAAAGAGATACACTGTCGAAAGTGAAAATGGACGTTTTTGATTTTTGTCTTAATATTGAGTAATTGCTCTACCAATCCTCAGACATTCAGCAATTCGTCGTGGCATCCTGACGCACTATATCTTTCCGAAAAACTAGAAACATTGATGTAGAGCAATTCAAAGCCGACATAACTTATGAGCAGTTTTATGAACAGACTAAAGACCATGATAATATTCATCATAAGATTGAACAATATAATAAAATTCTTATTAAATTATTAGATAAACATGCACCGGTTCAAACTAAAAGTATAACTATCAGATCAAATAGAAATTGGTTTAATGATGAAATTCTAAAATGTAAACAGAAGAAAAGGAAAGCGAGAAAACAGTGGCGAAAATCAAATCTAATAATATACAGACAAATATAGGGGATATTGAAATGCAAATACCTATGCAGGTTGTGATATGATAAATAGTCATGGACACTTGACATGCTTTGAGAGTATGTTTCACAGATGAAGAACTTATCGCCCCTAACAGAACCACTGAGCTGCACATGCGACACACAATAGCGCCATACACGTGGGAGGGGTTCATTGTTAAATTTGACACTTCAAGGAAGGGTTGATGAAAACTGCCGCGTGTTGGTTTATCGATCCATGTTTGCTTTCCTATACGTTCTTGCAAGATTTACTGTTTAGCGTATCTACAGTAAATATTTTGCACAAAATTCGATATGTGTTCGAAGGGGAATAACCGATTTGACCACTATTTGACAGTAAATTTACAATTTGTTGTAAAAATACTATTTCAAATATCATTTCTGTTAATATACAGTTCACATAATGTAAACTGATATATGGTTTTATTTCTATTTTACGTTTGGTGTAATCATACATGTGGCCAAGGAGGGAATAACCGATGTGGCCACTATTTGACAGTTAATTTACCATTTGGGGTAAAAATAATAATTCAAATGGCATTCTATTAATATACAGCTCACATAATGTAAACTGACATATGGTTGTATTTCTACATTAAGTTTGATGTAATCTTACATAAGTTTTGTATTCATAAGCATTTGTATCGTTTTAAATATAAGTTAACAAACTATTTGATATTACAAATCGGACACTTATAACTGTAATTTTAACAGTTTAATAGGATCCTTACGTGCACACCAACGTGTACACGAAACTCAGTGTTACGTCCCATCCCGAACGACTAGACAGCTATCCTTTTCCGGTCCTCCGTCCTGCATCAATGACAAGGGGGAAACGCGCCGGAAAATCTGGGTGAACTTTCTCGGCCAATGCCGACCCGACCTCAGGCTAGCGAGCCAGCATCTTACCCACTTAGCCATCGTGACCCCCTCATAAGTGGACTATAGTATAGAGAAAAGTAATGAAGACTTAGAAGGTCTATCAATGTTAAAGTTCTAAAGAGATGTACAATTACACGTTTCCTATAAATTGTACACAAATCCCGTATTTAAACATGTTTGAAAAGTAGGATTACCCATAAAAACAATTAAAGTACAACATACATGTACTTTTAACTAACATAGTTGTATCAATACAGATTACATGTAATAAAAATACAGTTCTAACTTGTAAAACTACACTTTTATTGTTAATTTACCAATGTTTTTTACAGTAATCCCATGTTATCGCACTAATACAGTAAATTTATAATACAAAAACATGCAGTGGTATTTTTACAGCGTTATATTAAAGAAATTACATATTTTTCACTGTAATTTTACATTTATTTTTGACAGTGTATAATCTTTGATGCATGATATCATTAGATTCTTTATTCATCTCTTTCTGTGTATTTCCTTCTAATTAAATATTAATCGTATTTTCAGTTAAGTGCAAAACCTTCTTTCATAGCTATTTCTGCCGTGAGTATAATATAGTGTATTATATTTCTTATAGAATTCAGGGACACATGTACTTAACCATTGTCTTCCCTAGTCCTCTGAGTCCAGGTAATCATTTATTATTTCCGCTAATAATTATCCACATGTCACGCCTGGATTTGACGGTCGCTATTTCTACGCTGTAATCGTGCTACAAATAAAGGGGACATGATTATTTGTTTTACGCTATAGATCTAATAATATTATTATTATTTTACACTGTAAAATTACAAAGGGCAATACTATAATCAGTTGAATTGTTTCTATTTACGAAATAATCCTCACAAAGATCAATAGAAAAGATCTGTCAGTTGAGTCAAGTGAATCAATCATATATTCGAATAAATGACCTATTAACCTCGATGGATATTTAATATTAAAAGTGCAAAATCCGGTGATTGTCCAGATGAGGAATGCCCCTGGTAACGTAGTTTCAAACATAGGCCAAAAATATACTTGCAGTAGGGAAGGTGTCTGGAATCAGTAGAATTATTAAAAGGATCAGTGGTATTGAAAGATTCCTGGCAATTCTCAAGATAAGGAGTAAGTTTGTTGTGTATGCATCCAAACAGATGGATGGTCGCCCAGATCTGAAACAAACACCTCCGAGGTGTGTCCCTAAGGGTGGAATAGGAGGAATTTACAGTTTGTCTGGTATCAGTGGTCTTGGCGACTGTCACTTGCAGAGGTATTGGGGAAATAGTGTAATTAGAAGACTGTTCATATCACAGGTGTTAATGGATGTTTGGTATTAAATATATATTTGTAGGGTGTCAGTTGATTTGAAGATTTAAGTAAAAGATGTGTCTGCTAGCATTGGAAATGGATTATGTTTGGTTTCAGAAATGACGTGGGTATATACAGTGTATATTGGAGTGTTACAGAGGGTATTTGACATTGAGGTTATTGAGTTTCCTTACTCAAGACAAACAAGAACCGTTTCTAAATGCAGAATTTTGCGATTGAACATAGCGGAGTTATCTCCCCATTTACGTTTTGGTTCGTAAAAGCTACAGTACAGAGATCGTGTTGCTTTTTGAACTTCAGATTTGTAGTGGGTATTAAATAAAATTTTACTTGAACATTACAGGTTGCCGAACTACCTTGCTAGACAGGACTGGAGGCCTAATTGAGGTGGGCTTGAACCCCATCCTACTGTATAATGTTTCAATATGAAGTCATTTGTTTAACGAGCGTTTGATGCTCTCTTCGCAAACTACAATGATGGAATCTACCTCATTAAAAATATATCTGCATTTTTCTCCTATTCTCATTTGTCTTTAACGACCTGATACCGTTCTTTCTTAAACGAACATTGTCTATGATTCACATCTTAGAAATGTTGACACCTGGAAACGACTCATTGCCATCTGAATGGCAAGTTGATCAGGTTTTCACTTCAACGATTTACCGATTGAAATCGTGTTCTTTCGCTAAGTTAATACCCCGGGGATTAATCAACGCAACGATAGCAAGCTGCATGTTCTTGCCTTACTTTGATTGATGACTGTCCGGGGAAATTATACAATTTTCCTTTAAAAACTTATCATAAGTTAACACAAGACAAACGTTGGACTATTGATTACTGATAATGCTTATTTCAAAGTGTTGATTTTAACCGTTACCATGTTAAAGGACTCATCTTAGATACAGGGAAGCCACCGTGGAAACAGCTACAAGCAGTCCAAGGCCAGCTGAAACTAGCTCAATGATTAATTCCAATAATCTGCCGATTTAAAGAAGAGTTATAAAGTTTTGTTTGTGAAGGAGGAGGGTTGTGTCTTGGGCAGTCTTTCTTTTGGTGTTTTTTGGCAGGAGGGAGGGGGTAACTTCTCAGGGGTGGTGCCTAGTCGACTTTTACCTACTTAAGCGTGTCAACAAAAATCAAAGCGAAGACTGGGTTGGGGAGGATAGTCAGGAACATACAGAATATCCATGCCACATTAAATGTGCCTTGCAATACCCTAGTGTTACACAATTAAAGTTTGTTGGAGTAGGATCAGCATTAAAATATTTTATACAGGGATATAAGGAATCAACATCCCTGATCAGCTAGAATGAGGATTAACGTTTGTTTTGCCTTTGTATATGTAACCATATAGCTACAGATGAAGCTCGCTAACCAGTGTGGTCCCTTTCAAACTACCCACTTAGTATTGTTTGTCTTTGATGTATTCATCTGACTCCCTGGATAATCTATATAACCCATCTTTGCTTACGAATTGAGTCTTTATCCTGATGATAATGATGTCATTAATGGACAAATGAAGCTTATTCAATTTGGCGCTTGCGTTTATAAATTACAATATAATCAACGTTCAGTTTTTTAGTTAAGTGCTAAAAATCCGATACACGAACACAAAGTAAACAATGTATTTTCTAAGATCAAACAGATTCTTGTTGAAATCATGATGTAGCAAATTATAGGTATTTAGTTTTCCACGTATCTTAAAACATGACGTTAAATTTGCAAGTTTGGTCATCTTCTGTACGGATAGAGCCATTAAAATCAACAAAACCGTAAATTATTCATGTAAAAGCTCAATTGAAACCTTGAGTAATTGATAATGAGCAATGTCCGCTTAGACTAAGTAGCGATGAATGGGCAATTAGATTCGTTAAAACTTTGAAACATGCACAGTCAATAAGTCTGCTTTTAATCGAGGTAGAATTTTCAAACTTGGTGTAGATGTTCATTAGGTGAATGATTAGCACATAGGGAACTTACGCCGTCCGTCTACAATTAGCCCGCTTGAGAACAGACCGAAGTCGGTTCGCCGACATTTTAATGCCTACAACGACGGTTTTAGTCGAAAAAAACTAAGTATCTCTCGAAAATTTTGAACAGTTGAACAGTATTTGTGCTGGTTCCATTTAATAGAATTGGAAGTCTTTACATGGTCTTTGTGTGTATGAAAGATATAACGCGAATTAGAATCATAAAAACTAATGTTAGAATATAGCGGCCAGTCGGGGCAGATATCTATTCTCAAAATAGAAAGTCCTCTGTGTCGCAACTTTAGGACACGATAACACTGTGAAACTTGGTGTACAGTATAGTTTCATTACATCAATACCTTGATTCATTTCAACCATGAGTAATTTCCGCGTAGGCTAAGTGGGATTATTCGATACTTTACAAAAAGATAATTGTGCAATTAATTAATATGTATAACACTAAGAACAAATACTACCTTCAAGGTGATTCAAACGCTCTAACATTGAATTTTGAACAGTTGATAATGCATTGTTTGACTCCAAAATGTTGAAAATGCCCGCCATCTTGTGTTTTCGAATGGCTGATGGACTCTTTCAAAAGAACAGTCTCCAAACAGATTTTGTGTAAATTTTGATAATCTTATCCACATTTGAAACATTTCCTGGATATTATGCAGTCATCTACTGCACTACTAAGGGTTATGCTCAAAGTACCATAGGTGGGATTGATTTAACCTCCAGATTGAGTCGAAAGTATGCGTTTGGTTGATTTTATATGACTAACAGAAGGCGAGCCTGCATGGTTATTTCAAGTCGTATCTAGTGGAAATAGTCTGCTTTCATTGGTTTGAATCGGCAGGTCGCGTCAATAAGTGATGGAAATTCTGCCGAAGATCAGATTTCTGCCCTTGTCAGTGATGCAGGACGGAGGGCCTGACAAGGACAGCTGTTTAGCCGTTCGGATGGGACGAAAAACCGAGGTCCCGTGTACATATTGGCGTGCACGTAAAAGATCCCTTGGCAGTTGCAATTCGATATAAGAGTAGGCCGTAGCGCCGCTGCCCGGGCAAAATTTCCCTCATAGCACACTGTATGGCGTATGCCCGTCTTCATTAGCCCAGTTTAGGAGCAGAACAGTAGGACGTTCAACCCCATTTCATTTCATTTCATTTCCCTCTGTCAAAAACAAAAACAGTTCAAATTTGTACCATACCATGATGAGTTAACTGGCGTGTCAAATCCCTTAGGTTGGAAGCCAGTTTAAGCGTTAACTCGTCTCCATTTTAATTATCTTCCTGTTTGTTTCTCAAATAAATTGACAGTCTCTAAATTAATGGGATTTGTCTTATTATACAGTTGAACAGTTAATTGTTAAAGGGTCCGATTTCCTGCCCATTTATAGTCATTAAATATCCTTCAACACACCTAAGCATAGCAAAGTCTGTTTATGAGCTTTATACGTCTTTGTATAACAAACATGTAAACAAACGTAAGGATTTTGGTTCTAATCAGATAAATTTACCGTCATATCATATCATGTTACCATATTCCAATATTCAGATTATCTTTTGCTTACTCTCCGCGTGAGCGTTTAATGTGAACTTTTTTTAGACATTTTAAAAACAATGAATAGTTGTCTACCCAATCATCAAAATCGTTATCGTCTTAAAGATTCATTGTGTAAGATTTAGATAATAGTTCAAAAATAGATAAATGCAAAATGAATATATTGAATATTTCATTAGAATGACTTTATTCTGAGCGATGTTATCACTGTTTGAAGTTTTGACAAGATGTGGCATAGATTGTTTATTATGGCAGCAACGTTACGATTCACCATTTGTAAATGATGCCACTTCGAGTTATTCAACTGACATAAACCAAGAGGTGTATTGGCAGTATAGGGAACATTTCCTCGCACACAAGAAAATAACTTCATCAATGGAGGTATTAAAATCTAATACACATTGATTTTTTTTTAATGTCAGATATTTAAACTTAGGGAAGCTAAAGCTCTTTCTGGTTTAAACTTTAAGAAGCTAAACCTCTTTGATTTAGGTCAAAAATAAAGTATTGAACGGGGTTGATTTGGTGGTCATGGGACAAGCTCTAATAGTAAGTGCAGGAGGACCACAATAGACAGAAACATGACACAAACTACACAGACATTGAAAGCAATAAACAAAAAAATATCAAATCAAATGAATGGACCCGGTTTATTTTGGAGTGTTAGTTTCTCTCTTCGTTTACTGTGTCGATCGTGG